CCTCCATAAATTTCATCTGGATCCCATGCTCTGAAACTGTGATTCAGCGTATCCAAAAACTCTGCGCCGCCCATGCTCTCAACGACATCCACACACCCACACTCTAAATGTTTGATGCATTTGTTATAACACCAGTGACGGACTTACATAGACGAAACGTCAGATAAAGACATTTTTCGACATAATGTGCTTTATCAGATGATGCATGTTTGCCTAGTGATATCATTACATGTGGAAAAATTCACATGCTCGATAAATATTTACTGGCAACACTCCTTTTGAAACCCTCCATAAAACATCTGGAAAACAGAACGAATTTTTTACCAACAATAAAAGGTAATTTCGTCGAACAAAGAAAGATGGCTACAATTATTCCATCTGCCGAGAATTCTCAAGCACACAACTATAATGTGGAAAATTTTGTTTTAATGTGGGCCGATGCTTCTGTGAATAGCATTAAAGAAAATCTACAGGCACAAAAGAGTTTAACTCAAATTCATAATCAATTTAACACATTTGAATCTGTTGATGAGTGTGAAAATGCTATTCAACAACTTCCCAAAACAAGTCGAGCTATTATTATTGTCAGTGGAGGATTCGGTAGAGAACTACTACCTCGTATTCATGAGTTACCACAAGTATTGACGATTTATGTTTTCTGCATGGATCAAGCAAAATATTTAGAATGGGCGAAACAATTTAACAAGGTAAAATAACCTTCTTATTTTACTTTAAAATTCTATTGTTTTCTTAGATCAAAACAATTATTGTCGATTTGCATAAACTCATTTCAACAATTCAATTTGATCATGAACAGCGAATAAATGTGAAAAACCAATGCAAATCAATGTTCTCGATACTAATTCGAAATCAGGTTTGTTAATAGTGAACATCTTTATGATTAGATAGAAATTCAATCCTAACATTAAGAGTATGAATTCTGTCAATTTTTATTGAATAGAAACTAAAGTACCGGATACGTTTCGATACTCTTCGAAATATCTTGTTATTGCGGGTGAACTTCAATATACCGAAAAAACGATGAAAGATATTGCAACTGAAATTGTTAATCGATTTAAAAGCGATCCAAATCATGACTTCAATGCACTTATTTCTGAAACTGTAGAGCCAATTATGTATTTATTGAAACGTGAACAAAATCTTGCAGATTTTTCCGGTCAATTCAAACGTTTACTTTCAAAAGAAAAAGATATTCCTTGTGTAAGTCAACGGTTTTTAATTGACACTATCATGATGAACTCCGATCGATTTCTCTGTCGACGTTTAACATCTCTTCTCTGCAAACGTAATTCTGTCCCAATGATTCAACCTCCTCTCGGTTCTACGAACAACGAATATCGTTCGATATCTAACATCATTCATGTATGGGATTATTATCGACCCGTGTTACTCTCTTTCGGCATTGGACAATGTAAAGGAAAAACTTCATTAATAAATACTCTGTTCGACAGTAACTTCGAACAGTCAATGAAAGATAGATATTTTTCTGCCACCGTCGATGTTGATTTCGGCTATCATTTCATTGAACGACGTCCTATAAATATTGCGGATACTCATGGGGAAATTTCCAGTGAAAATCTTGCTCAAATATCGATGTTATTCAATGGTTTTCTCATTCATGTCGATTCAAAATATTTATGTTCAAATCAATGGAATGTGATCAAATATCTGAAATTACTCTCTTCTCAAAGCTATGTTCTACTACTTATTCGTGATGTTGACGGTGAAAATGATGAGAAAATACAATCGACCGTTGAAACTATATGTTCTGTTTGTTCTCATTGTCAAAGTCATTATTTGCCAAATGTTACCGACAAAACTACGGAAGAGAACAGAGAGAAAATTGATGAAGTACGTGAAAAGATCTTTCGTGATACAGCTCAACTTCAATGTTTGGATGAGAAATCAATTCAAGAACATCTCAAAAGACTACTAAATAACACTCAAAAAGAAATCATTGAACAAGACATAGCTTTTATTGATTCTATTCGATCTATTCTTATCGATGGTAAAGAAGAGAATTATTTATTATACTCTTTATTTACAAAACTATGTAAGAAGAGATTGGAAGTGGCTAAAATAGATCCATACGACAAAAATTTTCAAGACGAAGAACTCTATAAACTCAATCTTGAATTGTTTAATGCTGATTCTGAATTTAAAGAAAAGCAACGAATGGGTTCTCATACATATGGTGCCGGTTTTGAATTGTTTTGCAATTTACTTCAGAAACAAGAATCCAGATTAACCAATTTGCATTTACTATCGATGGAACTGAGGAAAAAAGCAGATAAAAAGAAGACAGGTCAAAAAGACTTGCTGTTTTATGATCAATTATCACTCGAAATTCACTGGCGTAATGCAATTATCGGTTCAACTAGTTTGTCCAATGTTGAACTTGAAATACTTGTCAACACCTATAGAGATTATATTGCTGAGGGAAATCCATTCGAAATAGTCGATGGTGATAATTTCGAAATGCAAGGCAATTTTCTAACAAAAGTGTTTGAATTATTTCCAAACAAGAAATTTTTTGTCATCAGTATAATTGGACCACAGAATAGTGGTAAAAGTACATTGCTTAATTTCTTGTTTGGTACTTTATTCGAAGCACGCGATGGCAGATGCACAAAGGGTAAGACAAAAATAACAGAAATGTGCACCGCGCCTAAAAATCGAGGCGGTGGCCGTTTTATGATATCTAGAGAATTATTTGCTCGATCGTTTTTATAGATTTATTGCACTAACATGGCATCAGGATGCTTGTTAAGCAATACTGGATTGGGGAGAACGACGATTTATATACACTTTCGCTGGATACTTTCATCTTTCATACGATTTATTATTAAAAAATACACATAAGGTCTAATTAATCTAATGTAATGAAATTGATAAGAAAAAGAAAGAGCGAATATATAAATACACGAGAAAAGTTTTATTGATATAGTTTATCTAGAAATATATTTATACAAAGAGTATAGAAACACTAAAGGAGAGATAAATATGAGAGTGACAAGATGGACGGACAAAACGGTACGCAAATAGAATAATATTCTATATCAGTGGAACAGACAATTGAAACAAATAATATATCTAGAATGTTTGACGAAAAGAATATTGAAAGAATCAAAAAAAATATATAAAGCGTAGTCCATGACATTTCAATTGAAAAATATTACCGTTATAATACACTGAAATTTGATTTACTCTTAAGAATAATTATCCTGTCGATGTCATTTCATTTTTTGACTTTTAATTTAACATAAAAATATATAGATGCTGCCAAAAGCCCAGCAAAATTGGCTTTACTTTTCGAAATTCAATTTAAAGAAATTCCAATAGCTAGTAAGATCTAGATGCGGCCGTCTGCCGTCTGCGCACGGGCGGTGCACATCTCTGAAAAATAATTAATTTAAATCCTTTGGTTTTTCTCACTATGAAGATCTCTTTCATTATAGGTATTTATGGAACATTAATCAATGTTCAAAGTAAAACCAACAAGAACCAACTCATTCCACTTGATTATGATTACATTCTTGTTATTGATACGGAAGGTTTACTGTCTATTCAGAAACATGATGAGCAATACGATAAACGGCTAATTCTCTTCTGTTTAGCTGTATCCCATCTGGTGATTGTTAATGTTGAAATTGAAATAAATGAAGCAGTGAGAAAGTTTTTTGTCCTTTGTACACAAGCTCTCAAATATCTTGGTGAGACGCGTGTTACACGACCAACAGTGCATTTCGTTCTTAACAAACGGCCCAATCCGGATGAAGAATATTGTAAAACACTTCTTGAATGTGTTCGTACAACTTTAAAAAATAATAAGTTAGACAATGAAATCAATCTTCAGCCCGACAATTTTCATGTTTTATCAACAGCATTTAACCGAAATCCGTTTGACATTTTGAATGGAAAATGTGCAGCATTCTCGACCGACATAAGATTTGTAACAAATGTTCAAAAGCTTTGTAAATTTCTCATCGATACTTCATCTGATATTATTCGACAAACTGGTGATGATTTCTGTGTACCGACAAGTTGGATCGCATTTGCGAATAGAGTACTTCAAACAATCAAAAAACATCCTGATCTAACACATTTTCAAGATGTCTTCGAACGTGATCAATACAACAAAATACGAGACGATATTCGACGCGATTTTGATCAATATTTATCTCCCACAGTCGCTCGTTATCTAATGGACAAAGAAAAACAGAACAGTACTGATCATATCAAAGATTCCTTCAAGATTGAATATGAACGTATTTTAAAAACTCTTGAAGACAGACTTCGAGAACATTGTGGACAATGTCAAGCAAGTGAGAATATTCAGGAACGATCATCGCGATTTATGCAAGTACAATTAATCAATATCTTTCGATCATGGGAAGTTTCAGCTAGAATGGCATCCGAGCGATACAAAATCGATCAAATAGTCAATGATATCGAGAACAAACTTCGAGCAAAAGCAATCAGTGTCACTCATAAAAATTATCTCATGAATAAACAATCGGCAACAGAGATGTTTGATGAAGAATTAAAAGATATATTCATCCAAATAAAAGACAAATTCAAATCTGAAATGGTATGGAAACAATCGATTGACATGGTTTCTCATCTGTGTGATGTACTCGACAAAGATGTATTGCCAACCGGAAATAATATACTCGTCTATTTACCTTTTCTCAAGACTCTGGATAATGGTTCAACAGATCAGTCGATCTCAATGGATGATTGTCTATCAGAAATTCGTGCCAAATTTATATCTGAAGCTTCGAGTTTAGATCCATTAACTTCACATCTGATCAATATGTCTTCATTGATCTCCCGCAATGAAATAAAACAATCGCACAAGTTTCTCAACAATGATGAATTATCAAGAATATATTTTGTCATGTATCCGGATGGCAAAAAGACAAGAGAATCAGTCAGAAAAGGTGCACGTCAACTATATTCTCAGCTTTTCAACGACAATTGGAAAACTATTGTTCAAATATCGAAATGTTTCGAAGTCTTACTGGCTGACATAAAAGAAATTTTAACTTCAACAAATAATGATGAGCCTTCGACTGAAATAACACTTGTACAAAAAATTTTAGGAGCAGTGAACAAACTCACACAAGATTTTAACAATGAATTAAACATATTTAATTTCTGTTTATCTAAACAATTTCGTAGTACTTTGTACATTTGCGCTGTCATATCAACAGCTTTATATTATTACAATCGACAAAAAACTCATTTTCTTCATGTTATCAGATGTGCATCTGAAAACAAGTCAAAATTGATCGAACGATTTCTTCCTTGGGTTGTTCTAATTGAAAATGATGATGAAAATGTAGCCATTAATTGTATCAATGAACTTTCTCAAGTGTTGTGTCAATTATTTGAACCACAAATCAAAGAAATTATCGAAAAGCATATTAACAACGAAATGATAAAAACGTTGAATCGATGTTCTATTATCAAAGAACTCGATGATGAAGTCTATCATGCTACCGATGATTGGCTTAAACGTTATGTTCTTTATCCTATTGATTTGATCGTCGAACGATTTAACGAAAAATGGACGAGAGTCAAAGCAACAGTAGATGAAAAGCTTAACATGATCGTGAATTTAGTTTCGATGAGATTACGTGAAATTTTTCAGTTAATAAAAACTGTCAATACAATTTCGCAAGAACTAGGAGCACATTCTCTTTCGTTCGTCGACAGTTTATTCCAATTAAAAGGCGAACAAAGGACTGATCATGTAAACGATAAGCAATTTTGCATGGCCAAACTCTTCTATCTCTATCTTGTTGGTGAAGATATCCCAAGAGAAATCTATACTAGAAATGGTTCAATCTACACAGTTGATTCTAGATGGCAAATAATCATTGATAATTTTCCAAAACCAAGTGCAAAAATCAAGCAGGTTTTTCGTTTGCTTCAAAACGCATTTGAAATGTCTACAATCAGTTATCTTGGTTTTTTTCTCGATAAAATTCTCACTCGACAGAATGAAATTGAATTAGCAGTGTCAAATCAAATGACTTCATTTATTCAAAAGACATATCTAATCATTAAAGAACAATTAAGCAATCGAATGCGAGGTTGTCAAGCTCAATGTCCTTGTTGCAAGCGTATTTGTGATGTTGATCATCATTTAAACATTACTTCTCCGATTGGACAAGAAGAAAACAGACATCGCTGCCAATTCGGTCATCAAATTCGTGGTATGGGTGGTATACGTTATGAAATTACTGATGAAGCTTCAACATCATGGTGTGAGATCATCAAAGACAATGATCCAATAACTACTAGTAAAAATATTCGACAGACATGGAAGAATTTTAAGAGTGCCAATGCTGATTGGGATTTTGGCGATGATCTCAGAGTTCGAGAAACATTGGCAACATCGTATCCCTATATTTGGGAAAAAATTGGTAAACAGTTATGTGACCACTTCGGTAATGGAATGAAATTTGTCAAACAAAATACTCCACCAGTGGTGAATCACTTCATCTTTGTACTTGATCATTCTGGTTCAATGAATGAAAGAAGTAATATATTGACGCGACTGATGACTCTGACTGCCATAGCGAACAATTCTAATGAAACAAATCTCAGTCCATGGGAACATTTGCGTCGAGCTATCAAAGGATTTATTGATATTCGTATTAAGCAAGTATCCCTGAACGATGAAATCACGATGATTCTATTCGCTAGCCGAGCAGAACGAATTTACAATCGAGAAAGACTGACTAACATCGACTTCAATCGAATCAACACATCGATGAAGGTTTGTGGTGATGACACGAATTTTTCTGTTGCATTTCAGATGGTCATCAAAACACTTGAAGAAGTCAATAACGATTCAGAACGAAATAAGTTGCGGCAAACAATTATTTTCATGACTGATGGGGAACCTGAAAGATATCCGACTACAGAGTTACAACAGTTACGTGATTACAGGACAGGTTCGTAAGAATTCATATTCATTTTACGAGAGAAAATGCTACATTGATGTTTTCTTTTATTTTGAATAGATATTTCTATAAACCAGAATAGCAAAGCTTTGATAAACAATTTTTGGATCATGGCTCTTGGAAATTTTAACAAAAGAGTTATCGAAAACATCAATCAGACAATACAAGGAAAACTGGTTAACATTGAACAGGCAGAAGATCTAGTAGAAGCATATGCACAAATTGCCGAAATTCTGTAAGACAAATCGACGCCAAAAAAAAACATTTTTGTTCTGCTTAATCAATCATATTTTTAATGCTTATTTTTATGGCCATGAATAAACCAAGATCATTGTGAAATGTGCTACGTTTTCCACTATCTAACGATTGAAGATATGATCATTCGCTTTTGTGTAAATTGTTTCAAGATCACTAACTTTCAATAGAACATGAACTAAATTCTGAGATGTGAGAGTGAGGGAGGTTGAATTGATGAAGTTAAACTATTCGTCCCCACTCTCTTCTATGATATGGAGACGAAATTATCCCTCCCAAAGGTTGTGAAGTTTTTCATTTTGTTCTTTTCGAGAAAAAACAAAACTAGTCATTCAAACATTTTAATACACGTAGGTATTTTTAACAATTAATAGAATGGATATAGAGGCAATGTAAAGGACGGAAGACGTTTTCTGCGGATTTCGGGCGTGGGTGGAGTGTGAGTGTGGGGTGTGGCTTGGTGTGGGTGGGTGTCTGGTATGTGTGTGTGTGGGTTTGGGTGTGTGGGTGTGGATATGGGTGTGAGTGTGGGTGTGTGTGTGGGTTTGGGTGTGTGGGTGTGAGTGTGAGTGTGGGTGTGGGTATGTCCTTTTTACTTTATCCGCACCACCAATCACACCCACACCCACACCCCACCCACACTCCACACCCACACCCACCCACACCCACACCCACACACCCACACTCACATCCACCCTTAAGACCACATGTTTCAGCTGCTGTATCTATTAGCGTCTTGCGAAATAAGAGCTATTCTGATTCAATATCCCCTTCATTTAATGGTAATTGTAAATAACCTTGACCCACCGTTTTGGCGAATTTTTGACTGATTTCTGCATCAGTTAGTGCTTCCCATTTTATTCTGAACAATTTCTTTGGTTTAGCGGTTTGTTTAGGAGCGTTTGACGCTAGTTGTAGAACACAGATAACCAGATGATGATCAGTTGGCAACTCATCACCACGTTTGACCCGTACGTCCATTACTGTTCGTTTGATATTTTCCGATGTTATGATGAAGTCGATCAAAGATCGCTGAGTAATTTGACCACCGGTTTTGTACCGTGTATATATGGATATCTTTGTGTTTACAGAAAGTATTCATTATTGATAAACCACTAATTGCACAAAAATCCAATAACAGTCCTCCTTGATTGTTCAGATCTTTGTCACCATTTGGTCCAATTACACCGTTCCATGTTTGTGAATCATTTCCTACGTGTGCGTTGAAATCACCAATAAGTAATATAGAATCTGATACCGGTACGTTTTCCATAGTTATAGCAACGATATCGAGGAATTCTGGATAGTCTGCTTCGTTGTTTGGTGCATATATTTGAATAACCGTTATGGTAGTCTTCTTTAGTTGAAATCTAAGAAGAGCTACCATTTCGTTGATTGGTTTCCATTCTAGAACTGAGTCGATTAAACGAGGATGTATGAGTATTGCAACTCCCGTTTGAGCATAAATTGTTGAGTCGACGCCAGAGTAATATAATTGCCATCCATTGTTTAATATTAATGATCCTTTACCTTTTCTTTTTGTTGATGAAATGCCAAGTATATCTAGTGTGTATTTTTGCGCTTCTTCAGCTAGTTCTATTTCTTTGCCAGTGAGTGATGTGACATTCCATGTACCAATATTGATTTTGTGTTGATGTTGTCGTTTCTGTTGTTGAATCGTACTGGACGTGCTTTTTGAACATCGCGCCTTCCCCCGATGTATTCTAGGACAGTTGGCAGGACTATCGCTAGCCATTTGTTCGTGTTGTGTTATTGGTTGGTGTTTTATTGGTTCCAGTAACTTTTTCGGGTTGAACCCGGTCGATCTACAGGGCCCAACGATCGACTACCAGACGCTCGCATATGAGCTCTGTCCCCGTGCCTGGCTCCAGGGACATGCCCCGGTATCCCACTTCCGGGAGAGGTACGATTTCTATATATTGTATTCATCATGAGAGGTTTTGCAGAGGCTCGTTAGCATTACCCAGGTAACACCACGGGGAGGTGAGCTTGACTTGTTTCCCACCTTAGTGGTAATGAAGGATTTTATGGTGTCGATGAAGATTTTGCTGGTCCTCGGAGTTATGGTGGTCATGGAGGCTTTGGAAGTTACGCAGGTTTTGGAAATAGACTGAACACTACATATGATTATACTAGTAGTTAAAACAGTGCGAAACACTACCCATCCAGTTGATTCAGTAATTCTATGATAATAAATAGCGAAAAAAAAATATTAGTTAGACTGATTGCTGTGATATAGAAATTCAAAAGTTTCTCATGATTGTCAAAACTAAACTAATAAAACTATTGAATAAAGAGGGTACTTTGTCTTTAGCTTTAATAGATAGTGGTAGAAAAGCATTTGTCTTCAAGAACAAGAACGTCTTTGAACTGGTATTATTATTAGAAAATGAAAAGATAATTATTCTTTCTAGCAAGATTATGCGGTCGAACTGTATATCATTTGATGTTAATTGTCTCCATATCCGAGAAAATACTAGACGTATCTTAAAAACAAGTTTACGGATGACTTCAATTGTATGTTGTACATATGTTTTACATGTTTTTTTTTCTAAAGTTTCTGCTTCGTTCAGAACTTCACAATGTTGATTCTGTGACATGTTGTCTTCTGTTTGAAAATAAAAATATTGAATAGTCTTTTTGAAAACATGCAAGTGTTGATGAATCAATGTGTAGTTACCTTTCATCTAAAATAGTCGTTTCAAAAAATAAATTCACTTAGGCAAGCAAAGAACACATTTCAATACTAATCATTTTTTTTTACTTCCATCGATTCATATTGATTTATCGATTTCTCAAAACTTGCCCATTGAGTGTTCGCTCTTTCAAGGAAGTAAAATCAAAAGCATTGTTCTAACTTATATCTAACTAAATTGATGAATAAAATATTTAAAAAGTTTTTCTTTTACTCGATTAAATTAAGACATTTATCTTGTCATCATCCAGTTGATATCAAAATGTTTTTATATCTATGATCTTAATCATTTTGATAGTCGAAACCTTGAGGGTGTGGATGGGGTGTGGGTGTGTGGGTGTGGGTGTGGGTGTGGGTGTGGGTGTGTGTGGATGTAGGTGGGTGTGGGTGTGGGTGGGTGTGGGGGCGGGCAAAGAGAAGACCCACATACCCACACCCCACACTCACACCCACACCCACACCCACACCCACACCCACACCCACACA